GCAAAGCTCATCTAACTCCGCGGGAGACATCCTATAGATTCGTCCTCTAGGCACCTTGCTACCTGGGACAATTTCTATCGCATGTACAACATCCCTTTCCACCACGCCTGTGGGCTCCTCAAAAAAGTCTGAATATTGTGCGACGACGCTTTCTATCTCTGGGGGTGTTTTAATGGCCTCCCCTTTCTCAGAGACAAAGACTAGATACATGCCCTCCTCTCGATTTTGCTTATAGTAGTTATAGAAGGATGAAGCGCACATACACCCGTAGTTTTCTATTAGACTGCTAGCTTTATACTTCTGCAATCTAACAGTTCTACCATTGGGCAATTTGTGGATCAACACCTTTCTATCCCAGTTAAACTGAGGTTGCGAGACTTCGAGGTAGTACATGCCGAGTAGCATATTGAATGACAGTTCGTCGCTCACCAAGAAGGAGATCTTGTGGATCATTTCCCCTCCTCCAAAGGAGAAGGTGCAGGCTACGTCCTTCACATAGTCTTTAACCACCATTTGGTGCTTGTTGGCTAGCGTAGAAGCTACAGTTCTGCTAAGCCGCTGCACTTGGTCCCCTAAGCGCAGTCTATCCACACAAGCACGACTGATGAAATTTCGTGTAGAGCCTGTCTGCGAAGGCTCCAACCTTGCGGCCACCTACATCTACTTCTACCATGAAATGTTCACCCTTTGGACCTCTTTTGATCATCGCCCAAGAGTCCCTGGGGTCCTTCCCTGACCACTCAGTCTCTAACTCTTCTAGGGCCTCAAACTCATCTCTCGAACAGAGCGTCGGTGGGCCTGAATGTGTCTGTGGGGCGATGTGTGGGTCACTAGCCTTGGCCAACGCCTGAAGTGGGGAAGGCAACGTTACCACTTCAGCACGAGTAAGAGCGGCTAACACTCCTACTGGCCCGAGGTGTTTCCCTGTGAGCTGCTCGCAGAAGCACTCCCAGGATTCGAAGATAARYCCACCACTGTTGGTGAGGCTACCTTCGTTGTGACCTTTTTGCCGCGGCAAGTCCTGGACGTGTGGCCATAGTTGCCACAGTTCATGCATGTGCCCCTGGCAACTCGGTCCCTCCACACCTCATAATCCAAACCAATCTTCACCCATGCGGGTGTCCCTTGGTCGCCCTGACCCATGGACCGTCCTACCTTCTTCCCGGTCCCCCTAGCCTTTTCCTTGATGGGTGCCACGACTCCCCCATCCGAAGTCTCGCTGGCCCCATCCTGCTCTGTTACCTCCCCAAGGTCTAGGAAATCGTCAATCTCCGTAGTTTGACCATCATGGTCAACGAACATTAACTGACCCTTCTTCTTCCAGTCCTGGAGGAGTCTCTTCCTACCATCATGAGATACCTTATGCGCAGATCCCAACTTTGCCTCTATATCCAAAAGCTTTCTTACTAAAAGTAGCGAAGTTGTGTTGTTCGACATAGGCCTCATCAACCAGCTTGGTCCTTACCTCCGCAGGTAGGCACCTTAGGTAATCCGTCAGGAGAACCTGCTGGTCAAAGCGCACACCAGGTACCACGAGAAGGCGTTCTACAGTGTCCGTAAGCTCTCTAACATCCTTGAACCTGCGGGAACAAAGATTGTTGRTAGCATCGGTGGCCTTCTGAGCCCCTTGCGGGTCATGCCACCTGTTATACACGGATCGTACGAACTCTTCCAATGTCTGGGTCTGCGCCCAGGCATCAAAGTTTTGACCGTAGCCCTGCTGCTGCACTAAGCCATGCAACCAGCGGGCTGCTGATCCCTCTAAAAAGGAGGCAGCCACTACAACTTCTTGCTCTGGCCTGGTCAGCTTGTGCCTCACATAAGTAGGCACAGTCCTCACCCAGGTGTCCAAGTCCTCTTCCTTCTTCCTATCTCCAGAGAAGGGTTTGGGACTCATTAGAGGTATCTTAGGCATCCACTACATAGGCTGCATGGGCCCAGGGGCTTGCTGCAGCGGCTGCATAGCCACTAAAACAGACTGTTGTACACTAACCTGGGCCTGGCTTGACAGTGGGACTGTAGTGACCACTGTCGTGGATGGTATGGTTGAGACTCTTTGAACCGAACCACTAGTTGCTACTAAACCACCTGGAGGGGGTATGCCAAACATAGGAGAGAAAGTTGACCCTGTGTGTTGCGGCATCGATGAAGGACCCGCACCCGCAGGGGGAACTATAGCAAATTGTGGCTGCCTCACCGTTGTGCGAGGAGCCCGAAGTTCAGCCAGGATTTGTTTCTGGCCTGCCACCAATTCGGCCAGCAATTCCTGCTGGACGTTCTGCGCTTCAGCCACTGAAAGTAAGGCACTACACAGTATACGACCAACAGGATCTAGTGCCGCCTCATCTAGTCCTTCCTGCCTGCCTAGCACCTGCATTCTACTCCCTAGTCTAGCCTTCCTAAGTATGGCTTTTCTTCTCCTCTCTGCTGCTTCGTCCAGCTGCCGCTCTAACTCATATTGAAGTTCTTCTGCTCGACGGATTTCTAAGTCCTCCGCCGTGAGTTGAGTCTGCTGGCTGACTCGCAAGCCAGCAATCTGACTAATGGTCCCCTGAGAACCACTCTGACTGACTCCTGACAAAGTGGACTGTGAAGAGGTTTGTGGCATAGATGAAGTAGCCATGGCTGCACCGGTGCTAGCTGAAACTCTAGCCCTAGCACTATCCTCATCTGCCCTCGCTGTTCTTGCCGCTGCCCTCTCTCTAGCCTCTCTCCGCAATCTTCTCTCGTCTCCTGGACCTAGCTCCAAGAATGTCAAGGGTCGACTACGGGTAGTCCCGCGAGTAGTCCTACGGTCGTCCACGAGCAACTCCTCCTCACTAGTGCTTGCATCACTCATGAGCTACAGTGTGTGTCATCTAAACTAGAATCCACATTGAATCCTACCTTAGCCTGACACACAACCGATTATGAATTACAACTAATTTCGGTCGGCTGGAACAGAAACAGTTAGGTGATATAATAACAACTAATGTCAGGTCCTACAGGATATATTAAATCTATTTTTAGATTACCCTAGAACAGATTGCAGTACAACAAAGATCTAGTCTGTATGTAGCTGTCTGTCAGTTGTTAGTCAAGTCTGTAACAACTAGATAATCAAAAAATCAAAATAACATCTCCTGTTGAAGATGTATGCTTGATGGCAGATTGTATGTTGATTGCCACTGCGAACAGTTACCGGAATCCCCCCTCCCCCTGTATCCTTCTTGAGTGGTCACTTTGTGTCTACGCCCTAAGCATCTGGTTGAGCAGCGTGTCTGAAGGTGTGCAATCCGGCCCACCCCTGTGCCCCAAGTCAACGTCGGACATGCCAGCCCCTGCACTCTTATTTACCCTCGCATGCAACGAGCCTTACACCCGGTTGATCTGGCTGATCAGGAGGGATTTAAGGAGAGCCCCCATCTCCTAAGGAATTATTTAACGTCGCAGTCAGGACGACGATCACAGCCAGATTCAAATCTGAGTCCCCAGCCAGAAATGTTTAAAGACGGTCTGGAAAGCATCTGTGTGACGGACCCGCCGGGATGGCGGTCCGTCAGGATCAAGACGAAGGGATGAGGATGGGGGAGATGGAGATGGAGCTGGAAGGAACAGCGCAACTCCAACACAGACTCAACACGCACGTACTCCAATCTGTGCAAATGAAGAATGAGTCAAAAAACAAACTGCAGCTGGGGTATACCCCCAGCGGACTGACTGGACTGCACTGGACTGGCCTGGTACCGACAGTGGTACCGGGCAGGACTAGAACAGCACACGGCCTGTGGGGTCAGGCCACGGCCTGGTCCCACAGTTCGAACTGGGCAAATAGCCAAATAGGCCCTGGCTGTAGGCCAAGGCAGATGAAGGCCCGCTGCATGATCCTCAAACCTGTAATGGATCGCAAGAGCCATAAACACGCTATCCGCAAAAGCAGCGGAATTCTGCAATAAAGAAAGCTGAGAAATCTAGGATGCGTAGCAAGCTCCATGCGGAGTCCATGCGATGCATCCTAAGCTACATAATGTCAAAAGAAAAGCAAATGTCTGATATACATATCCTAGCTAACAGCAGAAAATGAAATGTAGTATGATACAATCCTAAAGTCCTGGAGGCAGTGGCCTCAGTGCTGAAAGGAAAAGAGCAATATGTCACAAGATAATGTCATGTCGCTGAACCACTAAGAGTGGGATGGTCTCAGAGGGGGTGAATGCAGCCTAACAATCGAAACTCCTAAGGGAAGTCACACATGAAGGTGGGATAGGTCATCAGGCTCAAGATGGGAGAGTGGTAGCGAAACAAAACCAGTGACCCTAACAGATAGACCATCTAGGCGGGTAATGCTCGACAAAAGGGTGACACCATGCAGGGTCGACCATGAAAAGGGGAGCCTGGAATAGGGTGGAGCTATGCCGAACTGAAGGCATGCAATAGCCGGCGCTAGGTTGATGAGGGCAGTGGGTGAGGGAAACATGCACACAACTCACCGACTGGGAGAGGGAGCTAGATCTGGGAGCAAGGAAGCCAAGATAACGCTACGGTCCCAATGCCTATGCGATACCAAGGGAGAGCCAAACTCAAAGAGACCCAGCTAAGTGAGAACCATCATGCGACAGGGGCAAGTATACAGGGTAGGGTGGTGACGTGAAGTAGTCACGTCCAAAGTAGCTGAAGTTGTCGAAGTAGTCGATGGCGTCGATGAAGTAGCAGTGGAGTCGATGTCGAAGCAGAGCCGCAAAACGCTGACATCCTGAAGAAGAGATGATGATGGAGTACCTGATGGTGTGAGTCAGTGGGGAAAGATAGAGGATAAGAGTGTCAGTCATCGTAACGCGAAGGGCGACGATGAGTGCACTGTGGACGCTCGGAAGCGACCGTCTGCGGCTGAGGAACGGCCTCAGAGGGAGCAGGCGCGTCCTCAGCAATCTCCTCAACCGGAGGAGGAGGAAGAGGATCAGTCGGCTGAGTAGAAGGAGATGTCTCAGCACGACGAGGACGATCATATGTACGCACCAATATCTTGGCGTGCTGCAAGTGCTCGAGGGGCTCCCAAGTAGCCTCCTCATCAGGGTAGCCCTTCCAACGCACAAGGTACTCGATGCGTGGAGGGGTATCGTTGGTAACTCGGCGTGATACGATGTCGGAAACAACGAACTCCTCGTGACCGTCCACCATGAGGAGGGCGCTCATAAGGGCGTCCGGCGAAGCTCTCGGACGGTCTGCGATAAGGACGCAACAAGGAGACATCGTGTACACGAGCCTGTCGAAGGTAATCAGGTAGCTTCACACGGAAGCTGACCGGACTAGCAGCAGTATCAAAACCGACGGCCTGAAGGATGCGGCATGGACCGAAGAAACGACTCCTGAACTTGCGAAGCGTATCTGCTTCGAGCTGTAAGTGGCATGCGTCGACGAGCACATCGTCACCGACTTTGACTGGATGATCCATTCGTGATCGGTTCGCTCGTGCGGCCATGCGAGTCTCGGAGTCGGCTAAACTCTCGTGTGCGCGCTTCATAATTGCCGCCATGTGGGTGATCCAGTCGTCAAGCGCAGGGCAACGAGTGTCTGGGCGCAACCGCGATGGTCGTAGGAAATCCGCGGGTACGCGAGGGTGGTAGTCGAGGTCGCAATAGAATGGCGACATCCCCGTGGCTGGCGAAACAGCGTGGGTGTACGCAATCTCCGCGTGGGCTAAGTGTAAGTCCCACTGCCGGTCATCCCTAACAAACTTTCGGAGGATATTACCGAGAGTTTTATTGGTGACCTCAGTCTGACCATCTGTCTGAGGGTGGTAAGACGATGAGAAGCGGAGCTGGGATCCGTACACCTCGTGTAGGCGTTGCCAGAATGTGCTGGTAAAGCGCGGGTCACGGTCGGAGATGATGCTCTGAGGTAGGCCGTGATCTCTCACGACTCGGTCGAAGACGATGTCGGCGACCTCACGAGCGCTAATGCGATAGCGGCACGGGACAAATCGTGCACGCTTCGTGAAGCGATCGACGACGACCAAGATAGCATCATGACCGCGCTCAGTGGGTGGGCGGAAGGGACCAATGAAATCCATCGAGATGGACTGCCAACGACCCTCCGGTATGGGTAGGGGTTGAAGTAACCCATACGGAAGGTGGTTCGCACTGTTCACCTCCTGGCAGGTAGGACACTCCTGGATGTAGGCTTTGACAAAGTCCTTGGACTTCGGCCAGACGTATAGGCGGCAAACACGAGCCAACGTCTTGTGGAAACCCATATGACCGGCAACTGCCTGTTCATGGAACCCTGCTACAGCCTGGACGCTTAGCTGTCTGGGGGAGGGAATACAGATACATGGTTGTAGCTGACCAGATCTGCCATGCCAGTACACGAGGCCGTTCTTCCTGAGGGAGTAGGAAGGAACGGTCTTGCCACTCCGCAGTATCGTGTGGATGACGCGATAATCGGGGCAGTGGCGGTACTGGGTGCGATACGCGTCGATCACCGACTGATCAACAGTTGTGATGGAGATGACAGGAAGATGGATGGGTTCCTGATTGTGATCAGGATGGCGGGACAAGGCATTGGCGACGCGGTTCGTTTCACCCTTGATGGGCTGAGTGGTGAAACTGAACTCGGATAAGCCACACCACCAGCGTGCCTGTCGAGGGGAAAGTTTAGGCTTCGTGAGGAAAGCCTGGACAACTGAGTTGTCCGTGCGCACCGTGAAGGGCGCCCCGTGCAGATAATGACGCCAATGTCGGGTAGCATAAACTACTGCGAGAACCTCACGTTCATCGGCAGTGTAGTTTATCTCGGCAGTCAGTAGCTGACGGGAGTAGAACGCGATCGGGCAATCCCCAACACGAGCCTCGACAGTCCCATCCTCCGTGATGGTCGGGGAGTAAGTAACAGGAGGACTGTCAGTAGAGGGAAGTGGTGGGAGGGTAGGCGTCAGTCAAGAAGCAGTGTCAGCAGGAAGGGGGGGGAAAGGAGGAACATGGGGGTAAGGTGAATTTGGAGGAGAGGGAAACACCTGAGAAAGGACAGCTCCTACGGCAAAATCTGATGCATCGGTGGTGATGATAAAGGGACAATCAAAATCGGGAAGGCGAAGAATCGGCGCACAGGTCACCGCCTTCTTGAGGGCGCGAAAGGCGTCCTCGCATAGGGGTGTTCAAAACCACGGCGGGTTCTTCCGGAGGAGGGTAGAGGTAAGGATGTAGGAATACCTAGTGTATCCCTGGATAAAATTACTATAGTAGCTGGTGAGGCCTAGGAAACTGCAAAGTTGCTTGGCAGATGTGGGGACGGGCCACTCTGCAATAGCAGTGATCTTCGCGTCGTCCATGTGGAGACCCTGGTCAGATACATGGTGTCCTAGAAAGTCCACTTTGCGCTGGGCAAAGCGGCACTTACTGAGCTTGGCATAGAAGCCATGCTTGCGTAAGCGCTGTAGGACATCGCGGAGGTGTCTGATATGGTCTTCTAAGATACGACTGTAGACCAAGATGTCGTCCAGGTATACAAGAATGTAGTCTTCAAGGATGTCCCTGAAGACGTCGTTCATCGTCGTCTGGAAGGTGGCGGGGGCATTGGTGAGGCCGAATGGCATCACCGTGAACTCGTAGTGGCCGAAGCGCGACCGAAAGGCGGTCTTCGGTTGATCCTCTGTGGCAACGTGGATCTGGTGGTAACCGCTACGAAGATCGATCTTCGTGAAGAAGCGGTTGCCTGCCAGACGATCAAACAGCTCATCCGCGCGGGGCATGGGATAGCTGTTCTTAACCGTGTAACGGTTAAGGCCGCGATAGTCGATGCAGAGGAGGAGAGTTCCGTCCGCTTTGCGAGCAAAGAGGACAGGTCCACCCCATGGGGAGTTACTGGGTTTAATGAAACCCAGTCGAAGGAGCTCCTCAAGCTGACGCTCGAGTTCCGTCGCCTCTGGGATCGAGAGTCAGTACGGTGCCTGATGGTGAACACGATAGTCAGGCACGAGCTGGATGGAATGCTCAACACCGCGCATCGGGGGAATCCCGCTGTATGAGAAATACGGGGGAAAGATGTCGCGGTACTCTCGAATCAGGTCGCGAACGGCCGGCTCTAAGTCTGTCGTGAACCGTGTGAGTTCCTCAGTGTCTGCGTCGGCACGAGACATATTTGTGGACTCGACAGTCGACGGCGCAGAGGCTTGGGACGTGGAGGAGGTATCCGCAGGCTGACGGGTGGACGTAGAGATGGGAGCCGCGAAGATGGAGGAAGGGTCAGGGGGATCGGGCTCCAGAGAGATGAGCTCAACCTCGGGACAAAGTGGATTATAGCGAAGAAGATCCATGACGTTCAGTGAGTAGAACGTGACGTCCTCCTGTCGTATGAAGTGAGCAAACTGACGAGGGGAAGTGAACGCGATGTCGGGGTGGGACCCTGAGGGACGAGGGTCCTGGGGAGGTAGGTCGGGCGGGGTGTCGCTCGTGGCTCCAATGAACGGGACGCGATGAGTCTGACCACACTTCGTTTTGAGAACGAGTGTCTCGGTCGCCCATTCAGCCTCTGTGCCACGGAACCGGCGAGACCAGGGAGTGCCAAGGATAAAGTCATACCCGGTTTTCAGCACGTCGAAGTATGCGGAGGAATGGAAGCACCTAGGCATCTGGGTACTATCCGATGGCTGAAGGGTGAGTGAGAAGTGGAGGTCGGGGACCGTCTGATCGAAGAAGCGCTGCGTCTTGTTATTTCCGAGGGTAACGGAGATAGGAGAGCGGGACCCAGAGGTAGCTAGGCGAGCTTCCTCAACCACTCGAGGGTGAACGAAATCTCCCTGCGAGCCAGAGTCCCATAAAGCGCGGTACACCCTCGTAGATGTCCCTAGGCGAATAGGGATGATGGGTAGGGTGCGATCAGGGTCAGAGAGCA